TGAAGTAAGACAGGAGCCCAAAGCAGCCTAGGCTAAAGTATAAACAGCATTTTGAGTGGCAACAAACTGAAGAAAGTGCAATGCAAACCCAGTTTTTATGGAAGTAACAAAGCACAGAGAACTCTTTGTTACTTAAAAAAGGGAAGAGAGGTTGGAATTTAGTAATATTGTTTAAGGTCTGTATGCAAACACTTAACTGGTAAATGTAAAAGTAATCAGGGAGACAGATTTCCTCTTGATGCTTTCAGCACTCCTGCTGCTATTTAAACTATAACAATAATAGTAATACTAATTTAAAAAAGCATACAGAACCACTAATTTTAAATGCAACTCACATGCTTGAAGTAACAGCAGACTATATATTCTGTTGGACTAGAATGCAGCTCTCCGATGACTGTTTTTACACTGGTCTGCCTTTTCAGCCCCTTTCACAGTTTTCCAGTTTGTATGTGATCTTCACTACACTTTTTAGCTATTGCCACGTTTGGTACTGTGCCCAAAGGCTGAAAGGAGCTCAAAAGGACAAGCAAAGATTGTTCACAGCCTACTACACAAGTACAACCTACTGCATCTTCCCAGAGAGGCCTCTGGACTGCATCCAGTACTGCGTACGCCAGAGAGCACCCTCCCTATGCACAAGTATTTGCATGGTGCCTGGGTCCCCAACTACTCAAAATGCCTTTACTTCAGACTGGGTTCTGACCACTTGTACTTTAACAATATTTAAAAATAAATTAAAAAAAGGGGGGGGGAAAGGCGGGGAGAGAGTCACCCTCAGATGCAATTCAACAGTTACTTTGGGAAAAATAACCTCAATTGGCACAAAGGATATTGTGTCATGCCTTTGCAGTTTCACAAATACTAACCTCCTAAAGATATTATTATGCAGACAAAAAATACAATAATTATTATTATACAGGCATAGCTTTAAAGAAGAGTATTCCTGCTAGAAGAAGCCCATGCATAGAGATTTTAAAAAACGCTGTAGGCACTGTATACAATGGATCTACGTTTTTTTCCATTGACATTTACTAGAACTAGAATCAGTTATGACTAAACTATCCATCAAGAAAACAACAAACACACTCCTCATCTAGGGAAATGACTGGGCCAACACAGAATCATTTGAAAAAGAGTGAACACTAAATAGAACACTGTGATACAGCATTTTTTTTCTATGGTATGAATAAGACAGCAAGTATCATATAGCCAATATAATCTGAACTCAGTCACAAACTACTTCCAGCAGGAGTGAGTTCACCCTCTCCTCCTACCTAGCTTGCATCTTTAAGATTTGCCCACAGCAAAGAGTCACAGAAAACTAACTTCTCATAGTACGTGCTAAATTCCAAGTCCTTAGGAACTGAAATATTTCAACTGAAAACAAGTCAAATCTTCCTTTTTAAGAACTAGTGTTCACCAGGAAAGAATCCTCAACATTAGTACTTCAGATACATACCAGAGACAGCACTGTATCTTCACTTCAGCTCAGAACATTATTCAGGCATTCTAAGGGTTTTGTTAGGAAAGATTATCTACCAAAAGATTAGTCCAGAACAAGAACTTTTTCTTACAATATTTAAGTTACCTGTAGCTAGCCTGAAATTCTTTGGTGCTGCTTTCTAAGTTAGGAAGATTTAATCAAACAGTTAAATCCATGGAAACTTGAGCCACCTAGGAAAAGCTTCAGTATGTTTTAAGCACTGCAGCACTTTGTTCTTGTTTTAGAAACAAATAGTGACAGCTTGGAACAAGAGCTTATGAAAGTTTGCTGATCATGTTTAAATATTTTAAGGACTTTAAGCATCTCCCACTGGATCTTTGTATTTTAAGTTATAGATGAGAACCAGCATAGTCCACAGGATAGACACAGAATAGAATCATAGAATAGTTAGGGTTGGAAAGGACCTTAAGATCATCTAGTTCCAAACCCCCTGCCATGGGCAGGAACACCTCACACTAAACCATGACACCCAAGTCCAACCTGTCCTTGAAAACCACCAGGGATGGAGCATTCACAACGTCCCTGGTCAACCCATTCCAGTGCCTCACCACCCTCACAGTAAAGAACATCCTCCTTATATCCAATCTAAACTTCCCCTGTTTAAGTTTTAACCCATTACCTCTTGTCCAATCACTACAGTTCCTAGAGAAGAGTCCCTCTCCAGCATCCTTGTAGGCTCCCTGTACATCTGTATAGTATATCTGTACTGTGGAATGCTTAATACTGCCCATTTCCTTATAGTTTTTTTTCAGCACTATTACACATAAACAGTTTTAATTACATATTACTTGGAATTTAAGTATAGTTTTAGCTTTGAGTAAAAAGCAATACATGATCATCATCTACTTCAATGTTTTCATCTCCCTTTTTCTTGTAAACAGCAGAACAAAAGCCTTTGTCTTCATTCTCAGTTTCTTGGCGCAACTGGGTTGTGGTTTTTTGGACACTGGGAAGGATCATAAAGTAGCATATGAAGGCTGACTTTACAAAGTTACTTCAGTGGCAAGCTAGGATATTTTTCTCAAGTGCTCTTAAGCAGCAACACTTATTTTAGTGGTGTCCAACAAAAGTTTCTTTTTAAGACCCCTTTCTTCAGAAACTGAATGTAAGACACAGTTTTTACAATGCCTGGTATGGAACACCTTAGTTCACAAGTGCTCCATCTTACAGTATCATTCTAGTTTTGTGAGCCTACAGAAGACTTCTAAGGTAAGTCCAAAACACGTGTTGTAAAAATATCAAGATGACCATGGAGATTTACAGTTAAGTCTGTCAATAATGGAAATTATAAAAATGGTTCCAGTACATCAGATTTGACTTGTTTTCAGAATTACCCCATGGATCTTTAAGATAGCTTTTTGTAAGTTAAAGAGCTGTAGGAAAGTTCACTTGAAGTAAATGGAAAGACTTCACCTTACCCTGAAATTAACAGATCTGGTCTCTTGAACTGTAAATCATACTTTGTATGTACTTAAATGAAAAAATGAATTTGGGTTAGTACCAAACAACTTAGGATAAATTGTCTAGCCAGATACTAATGATGGGAGAAAGCTAGAGTTTGAACAGATTCTGACTTAAGATACAGATAAGTGGCTTTGCACTAATCTAATTAAGATAATTCTCTCCTGTATCTCTAAAAATACTTACCCGTTCTGTCTCTGCTACTGAGGCTTTATTTCTCTAGTACACAAATGTAGTGCATCTTAACACGTAGAGTCTTGGCATTTTTTTTCATTCCGTCTCTTACCCCCTCCCCTTCTGCTTCCCTTTGGAGTGAGGCAAATCCAGTACTAGAGTTCACAGCAAAATTTAGCACAGCTGTTTTTGCTACCACTCCACCTGTAGCTATCTTTCCAAGCAAACAGCAATGAATAAGGATTAACGTTTAGTACCGTTTACGTCCACATGGGAGTGCTAAGCACATACCATAAAAATGACAATTTACAATGGTTTCAAATATGTTAATCTTTTAGGCATTGGAATTACACATCTAGATCATGACCACGGAGCATCACATTTCTTTAAATGATCAAGTTAAGCTTTAAATCCAGCTTTAAGTTTAGGTTAGGCATTTAAGAAAGCTTGTTTCATAAATGCAAAGCACCCAACAGCATCTAAATCCTACTGATATGCCAGACGTACAAATGTAGTGCCTTTGTTTTCAAGTTATTTGGGAAGTTGAACATGTAAATGCTCTTCAGGAGACAAAAGGAGCCTTTTACTTAGAGTCACAGTACCAGGTGCCTCTGGTGTGACATCTGTAAGAAAGATTATTATTGTAACTCTAGGAAAAATAAATACAGGGACATGCTGCAGAACATCAAGCATAAATAGCCCAAATCAGCCTACAATCAAGTGATCAATACATTAGTGAAGTCTACTTCCCTCCTTTTCTTTCTACCCACTGCAATGCTTTTTCCTTATGAGAAACCATGTTTTCAGCTTCATAGTATGTATATACGATCATCAAGTTATTAAAATTATTTCTTATGTACCATCTGTAATTTGGATTGGATAAACTACTATAGCGGTAACCACTAGCATATACTCTTACCCCATTTCATCACCTTGCATGTAGGCCTAAAGAGTCTTCAAGGACATCTTTACCATCTAAGTTTGCAGAAGCAGTTTAAAGCTATTGAGAGAATAGAGAATTGGGGTGTCCTGCTAATTAAACACACACCCCCTTTTGAGGACTTTGATACAATAGAGAATATTTAAGCAGTTGAGAGACTGCTGAGCCAGAAAAAAGAAGTTTTGAGCTCAGGCTGCCATTTAGTTTCATATTACAACAGAAGTTTCTATCAAATTCAGCAGTAGAACAAAAGTTAACACTGCCCAACAACAGCGTAATTTTTACATTGTTCTATTTCATCACTTTCATATTTTTTCCTTTCAAAATAAGAATAAAGAAAACAAACATCCTGCATGAAGAAATTCTATTATTCTATAGAATAATAGAGAAATCCCACTAAGTCATGGTGGAGGTTATGCAGACAATTAGCTATCTAGACTATTAAAGTATTTATTATTCAGCCACCAAATGAAAAATCACTGTTTAAGTTCCTTACTGGAATGCCTTTCATCATGTTATTTTCAAGGCATGGTTACTACTAATGAAATTCACTCATGATTTCTTAAAGATAGTATTACTACAAGTGACTTAACATGATAGTTAAGATACCACAAAGCTTGGAATTCAGCTTCAGAAAACAGTATTATGCTCTATGAAGTAGTAGCAACGTGAGTATGCTGGCAGATTTACAGACTGACATTGAACAAATTCGTTTGTATGATACATAAGAAGGATTTTTATATAAATGCTCTGCTACTGGCTTTTTAGCTGCTCAAGGTGTGCCAGGAGCAAGCAAATGAGAACATGGGTATGCCCCCTCCCCCAACTTCCAGGGGCATGTTGTATGATTCTAAGAAGCCGATTTAAAGTAACAAAACCAAACATCAGCAGAATTTCTCTTAGCTAAGTTTTAACAAGGACTTATTGTAAGGAACATTGTTTATTGTATTACTTTGATAATGCACAAAAATATTTCAAATGCACATTAATATTCTCATGTACAACTCACAGCAATTGATCCCCTTAACTGGAAAAAAAAAGGTATCTGAATACTCTGTATTGCATTTTATAACTTTAACTGGACTTTTTAAAAACAAGTTTTCACATTCACACCTGTCACTCAGTTCCAGACATTCTTAAAATAAACAGCATTTCCTTTATATCAGTACCACCTCAACACTTAACACAATTTTATATTTGCTATCAGGTTTTACTGAAAATTTAAAAATAAAATTGAGATAACTGCAGAAATTAATATAGAACATAAAGGGTTAAATGTGGCATTCTAATTTTCTACATTGTTTTGCCAACAATACAAACCAACAAAATCCAACAACAAGCAGGCAGCTGTTAATTTGTGGTTTTGTTACATGTTTATGCTATGGTAGTTTCCCACATTCTCACCCAACTTGTTTAAACAGCCATTTTAACTGGACTGGGGGGGGGCCCCCCCCCCCGGGAATCTGCATGCGAGTTCTACCACAGTGTCATTTAATATGAAATGGTTTTAGGTAATACTTGAAGAAATGCTACTGTTGTAGGTATTCACCTTGGCACTTCTTTGGGTTTTTTTTTTCTTAAGGTAAGTTAGAGAAACATGTGCCAACAGGTAAAAAAAAGAACTATGGCTCCCAAGCAAACCTGCTACATACTTTCAGCAAGAGATAGCTACTAAAATTTAAAAGCTTATTTTAACTATAGCCCCATTTTGGACCTGGCCTTGCATTCCTCAAGGTGAGATCTACAGGACTTTTGCCTGAATGAAGAACTGTATGATCGCTCTTTCCAGTAAGCAGTTTTGTTTCATAGGTGTTTAACTACACAGCAGTGTGTGCTTTTGTGTGTATATGCATATACATACACTGATAGGCACTGTATAGCTATATAGAAAAGGCCAACTGCAATTTAAGATTTAACTTCGAAACTGTGTCCTTTTTTAAAAAGGAAACTTTTGGCTCCTTGAGCTCTGATGTTAGCAGCTATTCCTAATTTGCAAAGTCATCAGGTAGCACAACAATTTAGATATGAAATTACTCATAAAAATGTAAAAATCTGTATATAGTAGAATATACGGGAGATAATGGTGATAAGTAGATTTCAGGGTCACAAGACAGTCATACCCAGAGTGCAAAAAAAGTCAAGACTTGCTTCCAGCTGTACCAGTCACACAAAGGCCTTACCTTCATTAGCAAGAATAATGCAACAAACCACTTCCCATAACTGTGTTATCTTTTCATATACCTCAATATGCCGATACCATGCCTTTACATTTTGACATGGTTTTTGCCCTTATGCACTCCAGACTCTGAAGATGAGATTTTTGGGTGCTTCTGTGGATAAGTGATAGTAATAAAAGTGTTAATGGGGCTTTGGCACCTCTATCTCATTAGTAAAGCAAAGTCCTGCTCCATTTTTTCTTTAACAATAGAAGTCCCAAGAGTGGTGCATTCTGTTAGCACTGAAGAGCAGAACAGGCCTGTACAGAGTGATGATAGGAGAACATATGAAATGGCAATATGTGTGTCTACAATTGTCTTTCCAATCAATTGCACAGAAACTTGGTCCACATCTTCAGTTACAGTGTAGTCTTCTTAAGAACTTTGGTTACAGCATTAATGTTTTGGTAAGAAAGCAAACAAAAATACAGAGCAGATGCTTTCCTTTTCTTCAGGTAGATTTTTCATTGTCCTCTCCAGTCTTCTGAACCCGTGAATACTTTTTGCATGAAGATTTGAAGCAGCTGGGAGGCCAAGATATTGGCCAAGAAAAGCTGCAAGGAACAGAGCCTTGCACATTCTTCTCAAAGAAATAGAATATTGGATACCACCAGGCTCGAGAGAGAAAATTTGTCTGCGAAGAGACCTTTAAAGTCTGTATTGGCACAAGAAGGTAAAGAAGAAAAGGAAACAGACGATCAGTTTAAAGCATTACAATCAATTACATTGAGTCAGAACAACCACAAAAATTCAATATATTTGTATTTCTGTAAAGACAAGGTGCATTCAGCCTAGGAAAAACAAAGTATTGAGGCAGCGTATACAGCATAGTCCAAATATATACTACAAACTAAGCATCTTTAACAGAAAAAAAATGCTTCATTGCTGTACAATATTCAGGGAGAGCAAGCACTCACATCTTTGAATGCGAGTCCTTTCAGACATGTCACATTTCCATTGATGACTAACAGTTGAAAACTAGATTGAAATGGCTTGAGATCTATGCTCCTACTTGAAGGTGTTCTTAAAAATAACTGCAGCAGATACCTTCTGAACAATGTACTTTTAGTGACAGTTACAGAAAGAACTACTGCTAGATTTTTAGGATGGTCTAGGTAGCTTAGGTTGGTTATAAATTACTAAACTACTATTTATTCATAAGCTTAGACAAACAAGGGCTATTCTATACATCAACTACAGCAATTAGAACTTGAAGTTCAAAAAGTATTTATAAGGAATTTCAAAAATTAGCTTTGTAAAAATAATTTTTTGCAGTTACTTATTAACAGCCACAGATCAAAAAAGAAAATCTTAATTCATTAAATATTTACTTAAACCACAGCAAAGTGAAACTTCCTGCCCAATTTGTTTAAACTTCAATATGGAACTCCTATTTTTATTTCAAAATCAAGAACCTGTGAGCAGTATTAACAAATGCAAGGTTATACATTGACTCTGAAGATATTTGCTACTCACCTTTTCATTAGCCATTGAGTGGTACCACCAGAAAAGTCGTGTGGTGATATAGTAAGCAATGATGACATCTACGGTGTAGTGTTCATGAGCGACAAGGATACAAATTATGCCAGCAGCACTCATTAGCCAGCAGATTAAGTGATACCACCAGAAATGACGTGGTGAATCTGTGAAATAGGAAAGTGATGGAAAAAAAAAAAAAGAGCCACACAAAAAAAGATGTATGTTGTTACAGCAATCCACAAAGGGAAGGGGAAAACATAAAAGATGAAATAGGTGAGATTTAGGGTGGATATAAGTAAGAAATTGTTCACTGTGAGAGTGGTGAGACACTGAACAGGTTGCCCAGAGAAGTTGTAGATGCTCATCTCTGGCAGTGTTCAAGGCCAAGTTGCACAGGGCTCTGAGCAACCTGGTCTACTGTGAGGCACCCCTGCCCATAGTAAAGAGGTTGAAACTAGATGTTCTTAAGATCCTTTCCAACCTAAATCAGTCTATGATGCTACAATTATTTAATTCAGGCTACTAAATTTTAAAAGCATAACTCATTTATACCACACTAGTACAAGAACTTTGTTTTGACCGAGAAAACAAGATTAAAGAATTACACAAACTTACTGAGGTTTTCTTACTTTGTAAAATGAATCCAAGAAGAGCTTACAGAGACAGACAACACCATCACCCATTTTCTAGTCAGATTAAGTTTTCCAGTTAAATCACTTCTAGGGTATGGGGTGCAGAGCAAGAGACAGAATTGAGGCAAAACATGCACTTTATTTTACTTGTGTGTATTGAGACTGCTCTTTTTACAGTCTATGCTCAAGTAAACTTACACTCTAGTAAAATATCTAGAATTGATATAACTTGAGCAGAATCAAAGATTAAACAGGAAAAGATACTTGGACTTTTAATTCCTAGGTTTTACCTGCTTTGCATGAAACCTCTGTTCTGTGCGACAGAATACACTGTACAGTGAAGTACAGTATGTGAATTTATACCCTTTCATTAAAGATTAACAAATGGGAGTGAAGCTATTCTTCAAAATGCATTTAAGCCACTTCAGTGGAAAAGTTCCCCTGCCCTTCTGTCCCCACTGAAAAAGGCCTTGGGTGGCACAATGACCATTCATAACTTCTGACAGGCTAACGGGCTTCATTTCACTCTCAGTGGGAGGTTCTGGCACCTCTTGCCTTGTGGGGCAATGGTCAGCCTTTACTTTCACACAATACCAGCAGAAAACTTACTGATCTCAACAAGCTTACACAGTAGAAGTTTGAGAGGCCTGTGCAAAACAGTTACTATGGGACAACTTAAATTCTGGTGCAAGTGTCAAGACAGTAAAGTCTCTTAGCTGCCCCCAAAACACTGCAGACAAATTTGTATCTACTGATTAAAAAAAAAATAAAAAATATTAGGAGCCAAGCCATCTAAAGCAGCTGAAGAAAACAGCCCAAAGCAAGACAGACAAACTGAAGCTAAAAACATAACTACTCGGGGGAAAAAAGCTGGAATGTGGGGCAGTAACTGAAGCAGCAAAGGATGAAAGAAAGAGCAGAGAAAAATAAATCCTCTAAGCCAGAAATAACAACCTCAGAATGCATCTTGCACTGCAGACACATCATCAAAAGAGCAGAAAAAGTACCATAAGCAACCTCTAATTCAGAGCAATTATAGGGCTTAAGTCCTTGCTCAGATAGTATTTTGCTAATTATATGGGAGTCAGTTTAAGGAGAGCTATTCATTTCTCATTTATAGAAGACAAGTCCTCTGAAATATATGCCAAACAATTAGGCAGCAAAGGGATTATTACAAGTGTTTGTACATTATAATTCCTCAGACCTCTTAGGATAGAAGTACAGGAGTTATAGAAGCCCCAGACATTGGGTTACCGGCATCTTTCTGGTACTAAAGATATTAAAAGGGTATGTGACCAGCATTAAGCTGCAGTAACATACACAAAACAAGGCAAACAACAAATGTATTAGGCTGTTTTAATAATACTGATGAGTTACACATGCCATTCCCTCAGGAATGTTCACTTTACAAGAAAGACCCAGGCCTAAGAATCAGCAGACTATGAACAACATCTTGTATCCCTGTTTGAAGAAGAGTATCTTCCATCCAAAGATTTCAAGTTTGTCATGTGAAACGGGCATTTCTGTATCATGGGCTTTGTGTAAGGCAGAACACAGCACTGCAACACCTTCCTCCCTCAATGTTTTCGTAAGAGGAAGGCACTCAACTAATGCTGGTTAGTTTTATTTTTATTTCAGTCAGCACATTCCCATGAGCCAATCTAGCATTTGCATAGTTTGGGACACAACAGTAGGAGAGAAGATTCCAATTCCAAATACATGAACTGAAAAGGGAACTCCCCGCTATGCATTCATGAGCGGCCAAGTTCCCAGGGTACCAGCATTGCTTACAATATATCAGATTCAGAAATCCATGCTCTACTCTCTAAAGCTTCAATCGATGCTGTGTGTGCAGCACAGATTGATTCCCCCCCCCAAACACCACTGCAATGTAAAGCAAAGGGTGAAACCATAACCCTAACTATATTTTTTTTGTGCTTACCAAATTTTTATCAACTTCAAGAGGCAAAAAGTAGGAGACCCTAGCAGAAGACATCCAAAGAGCACGAATCAACTTTTCATTGTTTGCAATAGCTAACATATAGCAAACTTCACAAAAAATAGCTTTGAGTCTGCATGTAGTTTAGGTGTGCAATGGTGCTATGCTCACACCACAAAATAAATCCTTTAAAATCTAAGGTATGTCAGCCAATCTGCACAGAGCTAATTTACCTAATTACCTACAGTATGTTTTACCCCAAATTTGAGTAACCTGTTAATGAATAATGAAAAGCTAGCTTGCTTCAATCAACCAGTACACACTATACAACATGTCTAGTCACATTAAGCCTTCAGTTAAACCTACACCACTTCCACTACACCCATGTTCTATTTCCGCTCAAGAGTCATGATTTATATTTCAAACCCACACACGTACAGTCTGCGTACGGCTGACCACTAACTGAGGGCTGTAGTTTTATATTTTGGTGCAAAAATATAAAAAACATGCTAAAACTTTTAGCCTGTGTCTTCCCAGTACAATGAATTTGAACAAGAAAAGACCATTGAAATACCATCACTTACACTCTTTGATGAACAGGTAGACCAGAGTTAATATCACAGTATGACCACTAAACAGGAAGTCTCCACACAGGATGTGAGATCCAGTTATGGATAGACCACCACCAGAAATCAGTCGCAGGATCCTCTGAAGCTTTGCCTGCGCATCTCCATTCAACTACAACACCCAAAAAGAATACAAAAAAAAAAAAGAAGAAAGTTTAAGGTACACCATAAGCGACTTGAGTAAACTTCTTGCCCAAACACATATGGAGTCAGGCAGATAGGGAGAAAAGGATACATCTTCCATTTCTTTGACTTTCTTTCCCATATTCTTAAACAAATGGGCATGCGCATCAAAGCTGTCAGGTGCTAACATTCAGCTTGGTAACACTAGCATTCTGCCTATGCTTTCCAAGGCTATTTTAAAATATGCACTGTATGAGAATGCAATGCACAGTATATTGGAAAGGTAAACATTAAGAATTCATAAGGTCAGGAATCTCATGATAGCAGTTGATGGAATGGGTAAAACCCATTCAAAACCAGTTGTACCATACAACCTTGCATACTGCTTGCCATTCTGTTCAGAGCTGAGCAATTTTTCTACAGAGCAAAAAAAAAAAAACAACCCTCAAACTAAATTTTAGATTTGTTACAAGCTCAGTCAAGACTTGTGCAGATTTAGAGGATTTTTTTTTTTTTTTGAAACATACATGAGGATCAGCTTTTGCCTTCTCACAGACATCAGGCAAACACTCAGTTTCACCTAGCTATTTAAAGATTAACTCTGGGGAAAAAAACCCCAAATGCAAGTAAGTTAAAAGGAGAACTCAGTTTTACATAATCAGAGAGATATTCACATGGGACAAAAACAAATCCAGAAGAGCTATCATGTCTTTCCAGAGTTCAAGTAATTAATCCTGGTTTAATCTTAGCAATACGTACTTCTGGCAGAGAGTTAAGTTTTCCTTTGCTTACCTCTTCCCACTTCTCAATCTACAACAGACAAAGTCACTCCCCAAGATACTAAAACAAAACAGTTGAGTCTTTACAATAGTGGTATACAAATAAAGATTTTTTTAAATAGATCCCAGTTCATAAGTAGTTCATCCGCTATGCTCCTAAATTGTCCCAATGTGAAAGAAGACTGAACAAACAGGTACCCCGCCATCTAAGTAATAAGTATTGCTGCAGTACTAAGAGTGGCTCAAGCCTCAGGAACAAGTTTACTAGCTTGGTAGCAGCACTATTTTGACACAGGTATTCTCCTTTATAGCATCTTAACTGCAGCAACTTGAGGCTCTTTGCATATCTCACAATCTTTGGTTTAGCACAATCTATATGTTTCTGAAGATATCAACTAAAAGTAATTTGTGTTACTTAACAACACCTGGAACATTAGCTTCTATTTGCTCTTATGGCCTTAGCCATAAGGGCTCAGGCAGACTAAAGCAAGAATTGGGGAGCAAAGACTCTTACCTTTGGCGCACACTGAAAATGCATTCCAGGCACAGGTAAGGTGGTAACATACATAGTAATACAGCGGTACAGATACAAAGTTCCCATTATAAAAAAGAACCTGCGTCCTACTATTGATCTGAAAGCAGAAGAAGGGTGGAGGGGAAGAATGAGTATAAAGTTCACATGCAGGATACACTCACAACCATTATGGAGCTCTAGCTTTATTAGACTTCTAAAACCCTAGAATTAAAGGGTAGCTCCATCCCCACCTCTTCACAACACACTTCTTTAAATCAAAGGTTTATTCAGTGCTGCCTCATAATAGTACAGAGCTACCACAAAGCTTGAACCAATGTTAACGTGACGTCAGTCTAACTTGGGTATGCAGTCAGGTGCAGTTTACCTTTGACTCTGTGTCCTTCTCTTTTTAGTCCCATATTGTAAGCACATACTTGCCTTAAATATGTCATGAGACTCACTTGAAGTATTGTGTGCAGTTCTGGTGTCAACAAAAAAAAAAAAAAAAAGACATGGATCTGTTGGAACAAGTCCAGAGGAGGGCCACAAGGATGATGAGGGGACTGGAGCACCTCCCATATGAAGACAGGCTGAGAAAGTTGGGGCTGTTCAGCCTGAAGAAGAGAAGCTGTGTGGAGACCTCATAGCAGCCTACCAGTATCTGAAGGCGGGCTACGGTGATGCTGGTGAGGGAATCTTCATTAGGGGCCATAGTGATAGGACATGGGGTAACAGGTTAAAACTTAAACAGGGGAAGTTCAGATTGGATATAAGGAAGAAGGTCTTTACTGTAAGGGTGGGGAGGCACTGGAATGGGTTGCCCAACGAAGTTGTGAATGCTCCATCCCTGGCAGTGTTCAAGGCCAGGTTGGACAGAGCCTTAGGTGACATGGTTTAGTGTGAGATGTCCCTGCCCATGGCAGGGGGGTTGGAAGTAGATGATTTTAAGGTCCTTTCCAACCCTAACTGTTCTACTGTTCTATGATTCTGTGTATAGTTTTAGTCAACAAAGGAAAAAGCTTCCAATCTAGCTGCAGAGGACAGAAGGTTTTTCATCAAATTCAGAAGCCATTTCTTACATCAGCATGATTTCCTGTTTAAACACTGGCACATCAGTAAATACATGCGGCAAAGCCCAATCCCAGAATAAATTTGACTTGTACAATATGGGTGTCAAATTCAGGTTTTAGAAACATTATGCAACATTCAGGAGAGGCCTGTGTTTCTGTATCCAGCCTAGACAATGGAACAGTTTCTAAAGCAGTCATCCCTTTGGCATTTTCCTGCCAACCCCATTCTACAATATTGCTACAGATTCTACCATAAAATTGATTGTTCCCAAAGCTAAAATTGGAAACAAGTGTTCTGAAAACATACAGCAGAGGAAAAAAAAAAATATAGCTACTTACTTGTATCTAAGAAACAACCACTGGAATATCCATAATCCAAGTAGTATCATTCCATTTATTTCTGATACAGAAAAAGCCCACTGCACACGATCAATGTAATCGAAAAATTTGTCAGGCAAGGGAGGGCTTAACTCCTTTGGAGGTACTCTCTCGTGGACCACAGTGACCATGACACTTGTTAGAATCAAGTTGAAAAGAGCATAGACAAAGGCAATGCCCGTTTTCCACCATTCCAGAGGACATTTATTCCTAGACTCAGCAGTCATAGCAACCTGGATGTAATCAGAATATTTCTTTGTTGTTTTTCGCAAGCCATTAGACAAGCCCTTTGGTTTGCTAGTGCCATTTTTGCTCTCTTCAGTGACTGAGAGAGTAGGTCGTAAGTAGCCGTTAGAAGCGTCATTGTTTTGACTCTCCATATGCTCTTCAAGTTTTGCTGTCTCAATAGTATTCATTCCCACGCTGTATTCCCAAATAGGGTTTATCAGTGACCAACTTCTGAGCTCTGAAGTCTTTATTTCTTCAAGTCCAGTGCTCTCGTTCCTGGATTAATTTCTATTTCTGTTAAACTCTAAAAGTTGTCTATTGTGCTTTCACTACTCAGATCCTGTCAAGCAAGTCATGAAGGTCAGTCTTTTCCTCTAGAGCTGTATCATCTGCAAAAAAATAAAATCCAAATAGATTCTGAGTACCTTCAGAACTAGTAATGTGACACAACAAAATGCTGTTCTAAGTTCCAGCCAAACCTACTTACATATGGAGTCAAAAGGCAAACTAGTGACACGTGGTTACAGAGAAAATCTTTGATCAGTTTAGGAACTAGTACCAATTTCAACTTCTTTTAATTGTATTTTAATGACAAGATTCACAGACTTTAATGATGCTGACAGCACTTGTTTTATCAGTTGTCAAAATTAAGACTAATCCATGTCTGCAGCAATACTGAAGTTTACTGCTATGGGGCACTACATACAAAATATCTCCTTTTTGACCCCAGGGTTGCTACAGATATTAGCGTGGTTTGTCCATATAGATCAATCGTGTTAGTTCTGATGATAGAAAACAAAATGGCACTGCAGGATTTGATTTTGTAAGGCATAAAGTAATTTAGATTCAACTAGAAGAAAAATCTATTCCATGGGTAGATAGGTCTGTTACATTTTCTTGGATCCAAATGAGTCTTTCAACACTAAAAAACCCACAACCCACCCACAAGACAAAAACCCCAAAACACCACCAAAAACAACAACCCCAAACACAAAAGAAACTTGCACACAAAAAAAAAAAAAAAATCTAGATAACTACTGTAGTACCCACTAAATAATGTCTGAAATTTCAGAGAACTGAGAAATACACTTCTGGATTAGATTCTTTGTTATAGTAACCCCTATGTAGAACAGACCAAAAATGGATCTGTGTTTGTCCTTTAGTTACTTTAAAAAATATCCATGTAGAAGTATTTTAAACAGGAACAAATAGCAAGATTCATTATCACACAGAATTTATTTCAGGCTGCATTTGCCAATTCAGTAAAATCACATTAGATTAAAAAAAAATAATCAGATAAGCACACTTCTTATAACAGCATTTTCTACAAAGAATTGAATGCAGTTCACCTCCACAGAACTGACATTGCTCCCTACTAGAAACAAAGGCTATTCCCCACCTCCACTGTCTTTAAAGTTCTGTGGAACCACTTACTTATGATATACCTATTTTTATTACTCTGTTAGCTCCTATGGCAAAAGTAGCATTACTGTATAAAAGCGTTCATTATCTACCAGCAACTTCAGTTTTTCTTTTATTGTTTCTCTAGGAGAAGTTCAATACTACCATCACCTCCAGTCTCAGCATGCCAACACAGGCTGCCACAGTTTGCCACACTATGTACCATGAAGTCATCATGATGGAAACTACAGTGTCTCCATAAAAGTACATTGCAAAACCTGGCTTAGGAAAAAACCCCATCCTGATTAATAAAAATCTGTCCAGTAACTGATGTCCTGATAGCAAGGCCAATATAAAACCAAAACAGCCTGGAAAGTCACGTGTTTGTGTTTTGGTCCTCTTCCTTCATCCCCCCCAACTAGTGAAGACATTTAACATGGGCAGCATGTAAATCCCACTGATTTCCTAGCTGCTACTCTTACTGCTGAAAGGGAGAAAGAGTCAAGGTTCAGATCCCAAACATGACTATTTCAGTATTATTTGTATAAATCTCCCAAGAAGAACTTCTAAATTAACTCTCAGCAGTGTTTCTGAAATCCACTATCATTGGTTGACCTTTCCTAAATCCCTGATCAAGAAGTTTATGTAAACTACAGACACATGTCCTGAACAACTCTCCACCACCCAAAGAAAAACACAACCCAAGAAAACAAGTGGTGGTTTCAGACACTTTCTCTCCCTTTCACTAATCACACTGTAAACTCTGCTACCTTAGAAGGGGATGTTTAATCCATGAGGCAGGCAATGACCTCTCAGATGCTTCCTACAAAGAATATTCATTTACAGCAGCTGCAAAAGCAACAGCTTACTTGACAGTGTAGTAGTAGAACGCCACTTCACCTTTCACAAGTCCTATTTTAAACACACACATTCTATTCCCCATCTACTAAAGATAAACGTGACAGAATGCTTAAGTGACAATAGAGAAAAAAAAAAATCTTAACCTATGCAATTGCTTAAGTTTTGGAACACCAATCTACCTCGCATTCACCAAAGTCAAGACCCTTTTTCTCAGCAATGTTACACACAGCAGTCACTGATCGAGGGATCAGCAAAACTTGATATATTTTATATCCTGCACAATGAAACATTCTTAGAACTATGCATTTTCTGAAAAACAGCAGCAGAGTTAATAGTAGCCTTTGTTATTTCCTTCTCTTCCCCCAAAATACCTCAAACCTAGTAACATAACTAAAAGGAAGATTTTCAGATACTTAATGACATATAAGTAAGCCTTAAAGATCAAAGAGCATCTGAACTACAGATGAACAATAACCTCACAACCTAAAAGTACAGTGGTGGTCAAATTTTTACGTTAACTTATTAAAGCAATTATACCTACAGCTTGCAGGAAAAAGTTGTGTTCCTTCTTGGTCCTTTTAAATGGATCATAAGGCATATTGATCTACTGTTTCTGATGGCTCATCAAGATTATTCCAAGCAGAGTGCATACTGTGGTCAAAACTTTGTTTACATTGATAGTTCAAGGCGCTATATATTATCTGATCAGCGATCTGCAAGAACATAAAGGCTTTCCTTTATAGCACCTTTCCAACCTGTTTCTCCCATACTCTAAAGGAAAGCAGAAACTACTGATGAAAGACAGAAACACTCTGCATGAAGCTTTCAGTCCCTTGCTGCCAATCTGACTGGCTGGACAAGTGACAGATAAAAAACACAAACGATCTAATCATTCTCTGCTACAGGCTGTAGCATGTTAATTTCAGTTAAACATCCTATTGCTTCTTTTGTCAAACCTGGAATGCCCCCATATCCAAACCACTAGATGCCCATAAACTGCCTAGTAGTAGGCCTTAAGACTTCTTTGGTAACCAGGCAGCAATGCTCAGACCTGGTCATCTTGCCAACATCTAGGGTCTGAAAAATCAAACCCAACTGCTCTAAAACTACGGAACATCCACTAGGCAAGTCTCAAAGACTCACACAAAATAAGCAAAGTAACTCGAAAGGATAAATACAATTCCTGTAACAGATACACCCAGTTTTTAGGAACAAGTTTTCTTTTTGGAAAAAACTTCAATACCATCTAAAAATAGATAACCTCTTCAAGGAGCAGAGCTTCTTAACCAGCGGTATTACAACAGAAGTTGTAATTGCCACAAGGAACAATTTATTTAAAGGAAAAACCTTAGCAGTGAAAAAGACGAAAGAGCAGCAGAGATCCTAACTGTTTATCCTGAATTTCTAGTTGCTCCCATGCAAATAGCTCCTTTATTTCTTCACATCTCCATCTGGCTGTCATTCTAAAGAAAACAGTTGACTGGGGGTACAGCTTTGAGACAAGTGTTAAGAAAGCACATCTACGTTTGGCTCTTTACGCTAGAACTGAAGAATAGCAAACAGCTTTATTTAGCTTGTTAAGTCATCCGATTTTCACATAAAGGTCATTTTCACATAAAGTTAGCTCACAAGAGGTGTTTCTCATGTCATAATTGGAATTTCTGTAACATTTCTCAAACTATTTAACTTTCAGAATTTATTATGGACTGAATAGTCACACTTTAGACAGGCTTTCCAAATAAAAAGTTCTTAACCTGCTGTGCCATATACGAACAATACTACTGGAAAAAGAACATCCATAACAGTAGGACTGATCAACTCTGACATTAAGGAAAGCTACATATTCATACAGAAGGTGGAAAAGGTTTCTACGCAGTAATATTTTTAAACCTCATTTACTTTTGTTAAGGTTGACTCAAATATTTAAGGCAGGTGTAACATATTGCTGTATATGGTAGTTGCAGAAAAAGGGTCTGTAAGTAAAGTACTAAAGAAAAATATGACACAGATAACATGAGGGACAGTTATAGTACCATATTGCTATTCTCTATATCACAATTAGCAGGAAACAACTGCTGGCTAGTTTATATTTTCTTCAGTCACATTTTTAGGACTATGTATGGGACCAGAACTAGAAAAGAAGCTGTGTAGCCTCTACTACCTTGACAGCTGTGAATAAAAACTAAGTTTTTGGAGTTTAATTTTTCTTTTTCCTAGGCATTTGAGGTCTCTGTTTTAATAGCATTCCTTCTTCCATGCTATACGTATGTCCCACAGCATACAGGCCACTAGGCGGAAAAATGAAATACTCCCAAAACACAACTGCTAAGCAAGATCTGGGCAAAGTACGTTCAGGTATGCAGAAACAGGACTGAGTTTAACAGGTCTACTTATTGTTTCTATTTCCCTATAATTTTCAGAGTTGTGTTCACCATTCAGCTATACAATGTTTACGCTTACAATATACACGTACAAACTGAATTCTAGTTTATCTAAAAGTTACAAGTTTATCAACATTCTCTAATGGGCTGGCAACAGATTTCTAGTGTGACACTAAAGAACTGCAAGATAAAGCTGTATTACAGAATTGTCACTGAAATGCTCTCAGAACTGAGATCATAATCATATTGTCACTTGCAATAACTCCATCTTTTATAAAAAACATTAACTACTTACCCTGTATCAAATTATTTTCAGTAGTAGAAATAAAGCAGATACTCCCTCTACTTCTAGAGAGAGGGATTCTCTCATTTAGGATTATTAATGTACCAAGAGAAGCTGTCTAAGGACTAAATCTCTACACTTACCCAGATAGAGGGGAAAAGTTTCATGGTTACTGGTAAAGTATTTGTACAATCAAAGTTTTACCAGTACTGTGGAATTCTGTTTCTTTACATCTCTTACGAAGGATATTAGTTTCCATTTTCCTGGAATTTAATATTCAGTGTGTTCTCCACAGCAGTGTCAAGTCCCAAAAAGCACAAAAAATATTCATAGAATCAGAGAGTTGTTTGGGTTGAAAGGGACCTTGAAGATCATCTGGCTCCAACCACCTGCCATGGGCAGTGACACCTTCCACTAGACCAGGATGCTTAAAATCCTGTCCAGCCTGGCCCCAGTGACTACC